GAAGCCCAACAGATTTCAAGTCTGTCTCCTTAACCACTCGGACATATCGACTTTTTTATCATTTGTTCGGATTTAGTGATAAAATCGCAGCATTTAATGCTACATGTACATAATATTGTACAAAAGAGTGTACATAACACTCATATTTAGTGGGACCTATTAAAATTAAAAAATCAAGTGGACCCCACTCAATGTGAGTTTTATGTACACCTCTATGTACATTTATTATGTACTTGTAGCATTTTTCCAAAATTTATTGTTCAATTCAAATTTAAAATTTGCGGTTGTGAATATTTTTTAAAATTTTGAATCGATTTTTTCAATCATTTGGGTAAATTTACCAACCATTCCTTAAATTAAGGATTTTGTTCAACTTAAAATTTTAAAGTATCGATATCAAAATCGGGTGTATATCAAATTATATGCATTAATTTCAAAACAAAAACATCAATGCACAAGTTTTTTTTATATGAATATATAAAAAAGAAAAAATGGACCAGTTTTTCCCATCATTTTGGATGAATTTGCCAACCATTCCTTAGATTAATGATTTTGTTCACTTAAACTTTCAAATATTGCCTTCAACATATAGTGTATATCAAATTGTATGTTTTTAAAATTTAAAAAAGCCAATGCACGTCTTTTAGATATAAGGAATTTGAAATATTTAACATGTATTTTTCTTAGTCACACATTTTCAAATTTTCAAAATATTTTGTTTAAATTTTCGTGATTTCGAATTTGAAATCCTCAGTTGGAGTAATTTGTAATTATTATTATTTTATATACTTTACACATGTTATTCGAGTAAATTTTGTACACATTCGATAGATTATATAATATATATATATATATGTGTGTGTGTGTGTGTGTGTGTTAAATTTATATGTCCTTAGACATGTTTTGGTAACAAAATAGTTTAGAAAATTTTTAAGTGAATTCAATTTTTTAAAGAATAATATATAATATTTTACATAATCTTATATATGTTATATAATATTTTAAACGTACATGTTTTATGTTATTTTAGATAAGATAATTTTATATTGTAAATTATATCACATGTTAACTTACTTATTTAATTTATAATTATTATTTAATATTGTTTATTCACTCATTAATTCTAACTATTATTTATCCATGCTTCGCATGGGCTAAACACTTGTTATCGTGTATAACATTAAGTATTCAAAGGCTAATACGATGGAATCAAATTCAATTAGGTTGTATCATTACCCATAAAAGATACATTACTCATTATTTTACTATTTTTATTTTACTCCATTCATAGTACATTTTCTAATTAAAGTTGATCATACTGTCCATTTATATATAAAATCTATTATTCGTCTATTTACATATTTATCACTATCAATTATTATTTGACTACTGATCTATCACATTATGATGAGTTATTATTTTTTACTAGTATTCGACTTGTACAAATAGAATGTTATAACTTACATTTATGCATATAGTATTAAAATTATAAGTTATACAATGATATTATATTTTAAACATAGAGTATTATAAGTTATATTTATGCATATAATAATAAAAATATAAATTAAATAATGATATTATGTTTTAAAATTTGATCATTGGTTAAAATAAATAGTACATAACTATTTGATTGCATATGAACTGCTATATTAATTACATAAAATATAATAAATAAGGTAATTTTGAGAGATCGCCAATTTATTAGCTTAAAAATATTAAATTTATTATAACATTTTATTATGTGAGCTTAAGGAATTTTACTATAAGACTAAAATAAATTAACTTATTTAAAAATACAATCGCTAAATAAGATAAAAAAAATATATAATATTAATTTTAGAGTAAATAACTTCAACAAAAAGTTTACAATAATTTTTTATGTTTATGTAACTTTCATATATCATTTAGTTTAAACTATAGTTATTAATTTTAATAATAACTATTATATGATATAATAAAAAGTGTAATTATCACTTCGTTAATATAAAATGTAACGCTTTTTGTCTTAATTAACTCTAAAAAAAGTGCAATGAAATAGTTTAGCATTAATTAGATATGGTGGATTAATAATAATAATAATAATAATAATAATAATAATAATAATAATAATAATAATAATAATAATAATAATAATAATAATAATAATAATAATAATAATAATAATAATAATAGGAGATTGTAACATATAAAGATGGTAAACAATAATCAATAATATTAAATTATTATTAGTAATTAAGTATAGAGAGAAATATAAATGATAAAGTTTGTAACGGTTTTTGGAGGGAAATTAAAATTAGGTTTCATTAAATGTTTTATTATATGTTATTAGGCAGTAATTATATATGTATATATATATATATATATATATATATATATATATATATAT